GCTATGATCAAGAGTTGTGATCTTGCAAATATTCATATTGGAAGGTTTTGTTGGTGTTTCAATACATTAGAGGACTTAGGGGAAGGTCGTCGAAGACCCGTAGGCCTGCCATTTTTAGACCTGAATTGCGCGCCACTCGCGTCCCACTATTCAACTTTCAATCGTCGGCAACCTTCCGTCCCCGACAAAAACTTTCCCAAGCATTATGCATGAGACCACCACTGTCTCTTTAAAACTTCGTAAGACCGCCACTGTTTTTGTATGTGCTGGACTAATTATTAGCAAAATAACTAGCAGCATTCTCAAGCGATGTTTCTTTTGTTTTTCAAAATCCGACAATTGTTTGATTATACAAATTCACATTTCTGAGACATTCAGTGTTAAAAAATCAAGCTTTGTATCTCAATGCCTTTCACCGGATAATAGGAGGTGTAAGAGAAAAATAGTTCTTGGGTACAAAAACTCCGCCATGTTTAAGCGGCTGTGCGCAAATAGATGGAAATCAGTCGTTTCTGCTACCACCAATGATTTTGCCAAGCTGATTTTGATCATCAATGAAGATGATACACCTTATTTCACGAGTATCCATCACGGAACAATGACAGCTAGTTATCTAGTAATATTTCAAAATTCCCCATATCGGAACAGGACACACAATTCTGATGGATCCGTGAACGTCAGGTAGCGAGAGCTGTATTTTGCTTTGGTTTTTTTGTGCCCTACAAATTCATTTTGCACTTGCTAACAGCTTTTTTATTTAGAAAAGTTCATTTACATGCAAAAAATGAAACGCTACAGCGTGTTAAAGTGTGATGAATACTCGTGAAATAGGGTGTAGCGAGTCCCTCGAGGTCGATTCATAACCTCTGACGTCCTATACCACTAACGTACAGTTGCCGTACGGCAGAACTTAAATCATGCTCTTGACAAACTGTTTATAAACAGGAATTTCGCAACGCTGACGCTACACTTAAGGATGTATCAACTTTCTGGCGTTGCCATCAAATCACTTGATAGATCTTGATATGGTGTAAAAATATTTGACTTTTGTAAGGATTTTAACAAAGTTTTGGTTAAATTTATGAATTAATTTTGAGTACAGTGCGAGCCGCGGCCTTGTGCTGAAACTGCATATGTCGCATATGTGTTTTGGCAATAAAATACCAAGCTGCACAAGCGTAAGTCATCGCTGGTCTTATGACCACCTGAAAGAGCCTAATTCTTGTCAATCAAACTTAATTTTCAACGCTTACATATTAATGAGTAAAGCTATCGAAACTTAATTTGCAATTTAGTTTTTAACGACGTCTTTTCGTACAACAGATTGCTTGCGTTTTCTCCCCGCACTTTGCAGGTTGTCGTGGACTATGTCACCGGACCACAACTGGGTCACAAATGTAGCATCGTCAGTATAGGCATAGTTTACAATTGATGGGGCTAGGGACGGCATGGATTGGTCCAAGGACCGAACCCTGAGGGTCACCGAATATAATCCTCCGTGTTGTCGGCAGAACATTTTCAGCGACCTTAGAAGGAGCTGACAGCAGGCTAATGGGATGATAGTCCTTGGAAAATATCGAACCCACCTTCTTTGAAATCATTATAGCTTCGGCGGTCTTCCACGCTAATTGGGAAGCATGGCATCTAGTACTGCCACGAGATAGGTTAAGAACTTCCGCGAAAGCAGTTTCAGCTCCTTATTACTGATTTGATACGCCCCAGGTGCTTTACGCACGTTGAGGACTTAAACACGATCTTGAATCTCTGCTGGTGGGAAATGAGGGATCCCGGAAGATTTCGGTGCTGTGCTATACAGATCTTCGGTTGAAGAAGTTTCTGAAGACGAATCTTCTTATGAAGAAAAATCACCAACAGTAGCGCGACTGTGACTGACGCCGTTGTTCTGCCGTTGCGTTGCCGTTCCCAATTCAACCATTGAAAGGGACCCTGCTAATCACGTGTTTGTTGCGACAGGTCAGCTGGTTTTTCCGCCTGCTTTTTGCTCTGTTTGACGTAGGTATGTATTGTTTTGTTCTTTGAGATTGTTTGTTATATTTTATTTATTTCACTTAAATAATATTATTAATAGACAGAGCAAATCAGCAATGGATTTTGTATGCATTTATGCATGCTTGGTATTCCGACCATTTGACACGTTGACCGTTATGGTGCGCTGCGGTATGAGCTAGCGAGCCTAAGGGTATCTTATGGTCTTCATTGTACGGGATAATGATAAAAACCAGTTTAGCACTGAAGTCAGGAAAAAATTAAAACGGTTTTGGAAAAATTCTGTTTTGCCCGTCTTTCTTCGGAAGTACTTTGAATTTCGAAGCCTTCTAAGCAGCATTTTGTTAATTATCTTAGCTTTTCCCCACACAAGCGATTTCGTATCTTTTACCGTTCCAGAGATCCCAATGGTGAAAGTCGCATTTGAAACACCCGGTATATGGAGCCATCGAGTTACATTGTAAGTAAGGTACGATGTATCGAAGGTACTATAATTGGTAAACAAGGCAATGGGACGACTTCACGGATACAAAAAAGTTGCCTCTCGTGTGTACGTTACCATAGATCTCTTTTACACACATTCTTCCTTCCATGTCAACTAACAGCTTCCCAGCAATCTCCCTGTCCATGTCTATGTCCGATTATAAACCAGCGACCTCCCGCGTTCCTTTTATCTACCTTGTAGCAGTACCAGTACTCCCTCAAGATGAGAATGGCGGCTTAGCGGTCTACTGATTATACCTTTCTGAGATTTCGTGTAATGCATCTCCTTGCCGAGACAGTGTAATGACTGTGCTCTTGGCTCAACCGTGATATATATTTTCGGCCGACCAACAAGGTCTCATCCAGAAAAACGACACGCATAGGGAAACATGCAAATTCTCCTTTCAGACGATACATTACGATATATCTTTGCGACGTAGGTGGAATGTTGCGTATCAATCGTTATTTCGCAGTTTAATTTTAGTGTCCGACCGAAACTGGTATGCAAACCTAAATCGAAACCGAAACCTCTAACTGAGGAATATGACATACCTACTTGAACGGTCAATTTTTGGAGTTTAAAGATCGTCTAATTCATTTTTAGTCTGCAACAATGGATTTTATTGGCAATGATGACATTTTAAGTGATGACTTGTGTATGCTTGAACTAATAAATAGTGGTTTCCTAGAAGAATTACTCAAAGACCAAAAACAGAAACTATTTCCAAGAGATTAGTAACTATGGCATTTTTTTTGAAATTTAGTTTGTACAAACTGCTTTAAATATCTATTCTGAAATCGAGCTTGAACAGGAATTTCTCAATGATTGGCATGTGGGAAAACATACGGACCTAGTGTCGGTAGTAGTTTCGGCGGATTTTCTGCCGAAATCGAAATTAAACCGGAACTATGGTCGGACACTATTTATTTTATTACCCGACAGCCTCAGAGGGATATGTTTTTCCCGCGTGGGTATTTCTATCTATCCAAAAAATTCTATTTCAGGGGCTACATACCAAACGGCTTAATGTATTTTAACATATGAGATGTCTTTGGATTTTTCTTAGCAGTGCAAGTGACGCAAGGTAAATTTAGATTTTATGAAAGCAAAATGACGGATTTTAATAAACAGAATCCATCTTGTAATTCCCATATTGCAGGCTGCATACAGCACAAAAGGCTCGATGGATTTTTACATATGAGGTATCTATAGATTCGTCGTGACAGTGGAGTGCCATTGCTTGTCCTAACATCTTATAAACACAAAATGGCAGAAAAAGTTCAATCCGTATTTTACTGTCTACCCCTTAAACGGCTTGGTGGATTTTGACATGACATGAGGTGTTTCTAGATTTCACTTGATAGCAAAATTAAATATTTATTATTTTCAGTTACTGTAGTCGGGTTGACTGTTTTTTAATACACGTAGACTGTACCGTTTATTATTTCCCGACATCGATGGTGGTGTTTCTGGAGTACCTAAGATTATTCTGTCTATTGTCACACGGAGAAAAAACTTTATCATAAACCAATTAACATTTTAATTAGGCCAACTAAAAAAAAATAACTAACTATGTGACAGTTAACAAGTTAAATTACTTTAATTAAACTTCGATATCTAAAACAGTTTACTTGAATTTAATTAAACCAAAACGCATTCGTTTAATTAAATTTATTAGACCGTTTAGATTGATTATACCAATCCATTTAACATTAATGGACCATTAAAATGAGTTTACCTGCTCCAAGTAAAACAATTTAATTATATTTATTAAATTTGTGCAATTACTCTAGGTGAAAGTGCTTGCCCCGATTTAATAAACTATTTTGTTTGAATTTAAAAGAATATTTGGATAATATTTGGAATTTGAAAAATCAAATTGCAGTTTACTGGATGATGTAAATTATAACTGTGCTCTGAAAAATCTTTGATATCTAAAAATTTTGAGAACTTCATAGTCGATGCTTCGAATCTAAATAAAAACCTCCAAATTTTATAACCCTAGCAAACTTCGATTTTTTTAATTTTCATTGATTGTAAAATTATTATATTATGAGATCATCTTTTACCAACTATTTGTCTGTACAGAAAAAACTTATAATATATGACTATTCACTGGAAGCATTTTTTTTTTAATTCAGAAAGTAGAGAAAAGGATTTCTGAAACTGAATAAGACCATATCGTACTCACCCGCATTCAACCCATTCACATATATGTATAAATAAATTCGACAGCACTTAAGAAAAATAGGAAATTTTCAAATATACAAAGTCTACAACAACAGAAGGCTCCACTTTCTACTCGTATTATACAATCTAATCCTATGTTACGCACATACCTGTATATAGAGGGTGTACATGCCCTTCATTGACCTGCTTTTTGTCGTGCTTTATATAGGTTGCTACAAACTTACTTGTAGAGCCTACCATATTTTGATAATTATCACCAGTCCTACAACATTTAAAATTGATCTGTTGAGACGATGCACATCATAAGGAAGAAATATACCCCTGGGAACATTGGTGAGGTACCTGCTCGCTTGCATATCAGTTTCGGCCATTTTGATCTTCAGAATCTGACATTCAATTTTTGACAATCAAATTCACGAGAAGTTAAAGTCAGAGAAGTCAGAAATCAGGTAAAAGTGCTGTACTGAGTGTTACTCTAGACTGAAGGTCGAAAATGAGCAAGAAGAAAAAGAAAAATAAGAAGACGGTAAGAATCAAGCGGATAGCCATACAATTATAGTCAACAAAAATGAAAATGTTTCAGGAACAGCACTAAATCAAGAAATTCGGACGTTAATGAATAATGACAAAAATACGGAAACAACACTTAATGAGAAAATTGAACTATTGAGTGAATTACTAGCTAAAAAATATAGGCTAGTCCATCAGTTGTCCAACGAAAATCATTGGTACTAAGAGCACTACGATCTATTAGCCACCAAGGTCGTAGGAAACGACACTATTATCAGCTCACTGGAAAGACTAAATACACGAATGGAAGTATTTTAAAAATCAACCGAAACTAAGAATGTCTCATATTCTCAGACAGCTGCAAGTAAGGCATCACCAAACAAAGAGACAAGATCTTTGAAAAGCATAATCATTACACCTGATCAACACCAACCAAACTACAAGACCAAATATGATCTCAACAAAAACTAGACCTCTCGCAACTTCAGATAGGTATCGACAAAATCAAAAACTGCAGAAATGGAGCTGTAGAAATAAACGTCCAAGATTGTGTACATACCCAACTTAAACAAGAAATCGAAAAAAACATGCCTACATCCTACAAGATATCTGAACCAAGAATGTTCAAGCCAAGAATTAAAATAGTTGGTTATCGTTCGGAGGAAAAAATTACCGAAAGAGAAGGACAAGAAGAAATTATAAAACAAAATCACTTTGTGGCTAACGGAGATATATCCATTACTCATATTAATTATGTTGCCCACAAAAATTTTACATTATTTTTGCTGAAGTGACAGGTAAGTTATTTAGATATATTTTTGATAACAACAATGGAAAAATTTTATTAGGATTTGAAAATATTGCCGTTTATGACGAAATCAACGAAAAAAATGTCAAAATTGTAAAGTATGTTCAAAATGTGGAGAAAACCATGACATTTCCTCCTGCAATCAACCAACCACCAAATGTTGCAACTGTGTGTCTGCCAACTACAAGTACTAATACAAAATGCCCTACTTTCAAATTCTTCCAACAACAACACGTGTCACGAGTTTTATTTTGAGATTTCAAGAAGCGGATCTTATATCCAAAATTTAATTCTAAATTATGAAAGAAAACAAACCTTTTAAATTTGGTCACTTAAATATTCGGTCTCTATTGCCTTCTCTATCAGTTGTTGCCCGCATATTGGAAAATTCTGATTATGATATTCTAGCTCTATCTAAAACATAGCTCATTCAAAACCTCTTAGATAGTCACGGATATACATTCTGTCGAAAAGATAGGGACAGTCGCGGTGGAGCCGTGGGCATTTACGTGAGAAATGGTTTGCTCTGTGAAGAATTACAGATTGAGAAACATATTGGCTACTTTCCTAGTGAAAATATGTGGATAATATTGAAATTATCTGGTCAAACCCTTGCCTTGGGGTAATTTACCGACCTCCCCATAACAATGTTGATTAGGCCATTGATTTTTTTGATATTGCTCTCTCTTTTCTGGTATGGGGCTTTGATTATGTTGCAGTTGTTGGAGATATGAATATAAATCTTTTAAGTTCAGACAACAAACTAGAAAATTGTTTTAATGCTTATGGATTCCATCAAGTTATTATAGAACCCTCTAGAATAACTAGTCCTTCGAGCAACCTACTGGATCCCATATTTATCAATGATCTTCAAGTCTGTTCAAATTCTGGGACCATAAATATGGATTTACTTACCGATCATTTTTCAGTATTTTGTGAAATAACTTTGCAGTCTAAAAAACCTAAGCAAAAATTCGTTAAATTCAGATACCTTAAGAATTCTGATATTTTACCATTTCAAGATGATGTTTTAAACTTTTCCTGGAGCATTATATATTCCATAGAGAGCATTGATCACAAAATTTCATATTTGACAGATGGGCTAAAATTCATTTTTGATAAGCATGCACCCTGGCTATCATTCCAGTGAGAGACAGAGACAGAGCTTTATATCAGTTTAAAATTAATAAGACAGAAGATTACTGGAATCGCTACAAAGCGCTCAGAAATTCAAATTAAATATGAAAAAGCATCATATTTATTATCCCTCCGTCAACAAAATGATTCAAAAATGTTCTATAGATCCTTAAAATCAATGCGTATCCAACAGTCACAAAATACCGATATTCCTCTACATTTAAAGAACTCTACTGATATTAATAGTTATTTCTGTTCCATTTTTAATAACGCCATTTGTTCATGCACAGAGAAGATTGAGCATTATGAAAAGAATCACTATTCTCGTGATCGATTCAAGTTTAAACCAAACGACATGACTGATTTAAAATCGATGTTCCAGTCTCTGAAATCGAATGCCTTGGGAAGTGATGGCGTGTCACTCAGAATGCTAAAACTATGCTTTTTGCGATCCCAGGTCACATTTTACACATCATAAATACCTGTTCAGAAAGGAGATTCTTTCCAGAATCATGGAAAGAAGCATTAGTGTTACCTCTAGCTAAAATAAGTAAACCAAAATTATATTCTGATTTAAGACCAATCAGTATTTTACCTGTTTAGTATAAATTATTAGAAGAAGCAATATACCAACAAATTTACGATTATCTCTCTAAACATAAAATTTTGCCTCCCAAACAATGCGGTTATCGAAAAGGATATAACACTGCAGGCGCCCTACTAGACTTAACCGATAACATTGTTAGAGCCATGGGATCAGCATATGATCACATCATTAGATCTTCTTGACTTCTCTTAGGCATTCGATACCATAAATCATCGTCTTCTAGTAGCCAAGTGTAAATATTTTGGCTTTTCTGATTCTGCCTCAAAAACGATTCAGAGCTTCTTAGGAAATCGATATTAAAGGGTAGATATTGATATGGTTCTATCTTCAAAGTGCCTCATTTCCTCCGGAGTGCCTCAAGGGTCTGTACTTGGGCCACTCCTATTCATTTTTTATATTTCTGATCTCCACGCAGCTGTTAAATATTGTAGTATCCAATTCTTTGCCGACGATTCACAGATCTACAGTCATTTCCACAATCACGACATTCGAAATGCTGAATCTCAGGTTAATGAAGATATAACATCTATTAGTATTATGCAAAAATCATAACCTTCAGTTGAACCCTTTAAAATCGAAAGTCATTATTTTTTCACCAAAACTATTTAGAAGCAATGCCAAAGAATTACGTAGAATTAGATGGTGAGACTATAGAGTAAGTGAGTCAGTGAAAAACTTGGGCGTAACTTTAGATGAATGTTTAAATTTTATACCACATGTAAATAATATCAGTAAGAGTTGTTTTTTAATTATATCTCATCCTAATAGACAATTTCTTGACTTTACAACTAAAAAAATTTTGTGTGAATCTTTGGTAACGTCCAAAATTAGTTATTGCGATTTGCCATTTCTTAACTCTATATCTCTGGCACGTCTCCAAAAAAATCCTAAACTCATGTTGTAGGTTGATCAATAATTTGAAAAAATATGATATCAGCCGTTTTTTCAAAGATACGAAGTGGTTGAGAGTGCATGAACTGTGTTAGCTACACTTAGTTACTTACACCCACAGGCCTTTGCTATCACACATTCCGTAGTTTTTGAGAAATAAGCTGATATCGAGAAGCAATATCCATTCTAGGGATATTAGATTCACTGAAACACTCACAATGCCCCTTCAGATGACATCATTCTATCGTAAATGCTTCACCTATAACGCAATTATTTTTTACAATGCTCTACCTCGATCCACAAAATTGCTATCATATGATGAATTTAAAATACGTATGAAGAAATTTATTTTGAATAGGAGTACATTAGTTAGTTGATCAAATTTATCTGTCACCTCACACAAAATATTTGCAAAATAGCATTCCTTTGTTTTGTATACCTGTAACTGTTACAATAATTGTATACTTTTAACTCATGAAATAGCCTTCACTTATACAGGGTGACTTCGAAGTTGAGTCATTTATTTTAACAGTGAGTAGATCTGATCAAAAGAAATGTTTTTTTCCTTTACCATTTTTCTGGTAAAATTAAAGTAACAAAGTTATAGCCTTTGGAAGTTGAGTACTGCCCTGTCTCAATAATAATATGTTCGTGTTTGGCGACACCGGATATCATCCGCCTAACCGGTTCATCGCATCGGAAACAAAAAAGCGAAAGAATTTGAAACGTTATCACGTGTTTTTCGTCAGTCGATAACGCGTTAGTGAATAGTAGTGTTTGTTACGTGGCTCAAACGAAATCAAAAATGGCACATGTTTACGAAAATGCTGAACTTGTGGACATGATTCTTATTTACGGGGGGGCAGTCTTTACAAAATGCTCCCGGATGCATCACGGATTTATGCGAATCGGTTTCCCAATCGAGTGCAACCAACCCTTCGTGCCTTTGTTAATGTAGTACAAAGGGCTCGTGAATCAGGTGACTTAAGACCTCACAGGTCAGGGCATGCTGCTCAAGACCGCACGATCAATACAGGTCCGCACTGAAATACTGTCGGGACGATACTTTATTAAACAAGATAACATTTTTTTTTTATTTTTTATTTTTACACACATATTTGGATTATCTTCCTTCTACAATCATTATCTGAAAATTAATGACTCAACTTCAAAGTCACCTGTATATGTTATATACATCATGTTTTTTTATACACCTACATGTTTAAACTTCTAACCTATCAAATGTCTTTATGTTTTTTGTGTTGTTTTTTCAGTTTTTCTTTTTTTTGGGTTAAGGGGCAGAGTAGCATTATGCTCAACTTCGCTCCCTAAATAAAGACGATTTATTATTATTATTATTATTATTAAATGTGGCTGAATTAACAAATTTTCAAAATTCTTCCCATTTGAAGCGATACATTTTCTAACCATGGTTATGGGTCAGTAAGAGCATTTTGCTCAAGTAATTTGCCATAATTGATCCACTTCACACCTAATACACCAACAACGATAACATTCGAATATGAAGCCCGTCACAAAAATCACAAATGAAACTGAGGAGTTAGAAGCGCGTCATCGACCCGCTCATTTACGAATGAAGAGCCGTGTCCTGCCGACGCGATTAAAAAATAAACGGTTTCATGATTTGTATTAAAATGTTTATTCATTTTAAATGCATTTTCTGCATGAACTGAACTACCTGAACTAATTGAACAGTTTAATAAGTCGTGTGCGTTGTATCGGTTCGATAAATTGTACTGTTTGCCGCATTTTTTTCCGAAAAGCTTTTTATTCTAAGCTTTCAGTATTTGGGTAAGTTTTTGTTGCGCATTTTGATAGCAACTTGTAAAATACTTAATCTCGCTATAAATTATCGTTCGGATCAAACAAGTCATTAATTGTTTTTCACCGAAGCAACCGCGGAGGCAGAATCTTAAATGCCAGAGCACCGCGGCTGCTATGACGATCCAAAAGAAGTTTTGTTAATCCGATTTTTGAACTGTTTACGGTTAGTAGAACTGGGAAAATCTCCCTCTTGTAGATTGTTCCACAATCTCAACACCCGGACCGGACCTCGGGGCAAAGGAGCGCTGCAAAAGGGTCCCGAAACTGTCCGTTAGAGAAGAGTCATCGATCAGTTGGACAGTCTTCCTCTGGATAGCATCAAGCATAAATACTGTAGTCGGGGTGGCAGCAACCCAAACGCGTGAGCACTACTCGAGGCTAGCTCTTATCTGGGTCTAGTATAGAGTGAGGAGGTCATGTAGAGAAAACTACTACAGTGATAACCTGCAGGTCTCTCGTCAGAGAGGAAGTCAGCTCACCAGCTCACCTTGAGGAACACCCGCGTTGACCTTGTGTTGTACGATATCTTGCGGCCAGTCATCCACCATCTGCAAAGCTTATCTGGGAGGTCATAGGTTGGAAGTTTGCATAAGAGGACAACGTGCCACAGCTAATTGAACGCTTTTGTGATATCAAGAGCAACGACATGAGCCTCACCGAAAGTCTGGATGAGTTTACTCCGCTATTGCGTGCCGTAAACTGAGAGGTCCCCTGTGAATCGCTGGTAGGTACCGGAAACCATACTACCTGTCACTAAACAAGCGACGTTCCAGGTAGTCGCGATTTATGTGTCTCTCCATCGCCTTACTTATAACAGAAAGCAAAGCAATAGGCCTGTAGTTGTAAGGGTCGGCCGTAGATTCTTTTTTTTTTGGGATGGGTTGGACATGAGCAAATTTCCAGTATCTTGGAAAGTTACCGGATTCGTAAGACATCAGAAAGAGACGCGGAAGAACTGGAGCGAGCTCCGCTGCACACCTCTTCAATACATCGATAGGAATCAAGACCGGACCAGAAGCCTGGCTGATGCCGAGCGACAAAAGCACCCATCCTACGGTCTTATATCTGAATGTTTCTTCCCGCATAGTATAAGGAATCCTTTGAATCGACGGCACTCGAGCGTTGGGGGGTAGGTCCATGGTGGAATTGGCAGCAAAGATCTTGGTAAGTACTCCCGCATTAGCCTTTGAGTCGGTTACAATCGTTCCTTCCTGAGACGTACTTAGTGGTGGAAGGCTACTATGTGAGAAGTTCCTTTCAATCTGCTTGGCCAGCGTCCAGAAAGACCGACTGCGCTGCGACATTACTCTGTGCCTAACTTTTATACCGTGCAGGTCTTTGGCATTGTGGACTCGATGTCGGCTTGTCTGTTCTCTACAGTGGGCTTTTGCAGGAAGATTCTATGTGTCTTGATCATCTGCTAACGAGCAGTGTCGCACGAATTGTTGAACCAGCCGTTTGTCAGTGGTCTAGGCTTTAATTCACTGTATGAGAGATGTATTCCTCCATGTCATCGTGGATAATTTTGGTTACGAACAAACAGTCGACGCAACCGCGTCAGCGAAACAAACAAGGAAAAGTGAAGAAGTCTCTGAGCGAGGCTTCATCCCAGTCATGGTCCAAGGGAGAGCGATAAAGGCAAATAAATTTAAATAAATAAGAAACGTATCTGAAGCAGGAAATACTGCTGGGGGCAAAAGCCACAACTCCCCCGTTCTTTCTCAGATTGGAGCACACCTCGCAATTTGGGAAGCTAAGGTGATTAATCGACGCAGACGCTGAGATTTTTGTCTACGCAAAAAAACACACAGCGGGACGATTAAATTGCAGGCAGTGATGAACAGCATCAATGTTGCTGTTAGTTCCGCAGCTGTTTGTGAAACAAATTTTATCATCGATGTTGTTCCCTTCACCTGAGACTGGAGAGAGTTTCCATCCGGAATTCTTACTACTCGAAGGACTTATCACCATTAGTTTCTGTGTTGGGGAAGATAACCGACTGCGTAGCTCAGGTGTGGAAGCATGTGGATATTCTTAAGACACCCTGGAAAAAGCTATCGGGTGGTACGGCCTCGATTGACTGGTCCTTGTCTACCGCCTTCTTTTTGCGTGTTAAATAAACTTAAAGTGGCCCATTTTCGGAATTGTACCGCCTTCCCTCAATCGGTACTAACGTGTACAATCACTTGAACGGTAAGAAGTTGTATACAGAGTACAGCAACTTCTGGGACATGCATTTGCCACCGCCCACTCAGTAAGTTCTAAAAATTAATTGGGTGTTTCATAATATAGGTCTACCTACCATGGTACGATTATCCAAGTTTACACGAGATTAAGATTAACTATCTTCTTACTTTTTACTTTCTCAAGCACTTGCTGTCGTCTCATAAAAACTTTACAAATGATTCATACAAAAACTTCATTTACTCCTTTGCTGCCTTCGAAAATCGCATTTCTATGTAAATCATGAACACCTGATCTAATTACGTCAATCTTAACAACACCATTAGGAAGAATTAAGGGAACGTTTAACTTAATAATATCAACAACACAGTCAACGACTCGTTGATTGTGCGCCCAATTTTCTTTTCATTCTGATGTGCGATATAACTCTGAGGTAGCGATATCGTTATCGTATATAATTAAAATAGAATTGCTGTAATCATTGTCAGTAATTTCGACCAAATTATCGAATTACCTAGAATGGGTGGTGATTACACACTTTTCAGACTTCCCTCGTCACTGGACATTATGGCGTAGGAAACTGTAGCCGTGAATTCTATATCGGTGCCTGCAGTTGAAAGAGGAGTTTTAAAGCGGACAAAGCCCGATCTTCTACTACACGCCACTAGGTGGCACGACAATTATTACTTTGGGTTAATCAAATTAAATTCTTATTTTTTTGTAGTTATTTTTATGTTTTGACGATATTAAATCACAACAGCCACAAGGCTTGTATTGCAAGCAGTTTTAAATCGACAGGAATGCAGACTTGTTTTGCTCAGTATGAGTAGGTAGGAACATCTGCTTTTTTTAACTTTTATAAAAAGCTGGTGTAATAAAAAAGGTTTAACCGGTCTTGTCACATGAACATGATCTGTCTTCCGTAGAATTGAGCGTAATTCTTTGGTAAACTGTGAAATTTTTTGGTAGTGGGAGTAGGTAGGTATCTAAAAAGTATAAAACTTCGTAATCGCTAACTATACCTAAATTGAAATTCAACAAATCAAATATACAAAAGAGAAATCAACAGGTCAATCTCACTTCTGAACTTGATGAAATAAAATTCCACCACCAAGAACTAGTAGATATTTAAAATCAGTACATACAAACTATGAGCTATAGAAGTATAGCGCATGTGAACCAATTTCTTCTTTTTGTTTACGTAGCTACACATTTTTGTCTGTCATGTTGAAAATTACAATATGGAAACTAATTCTTTGTTAACAATATTACGGTGCCTCCTAGTTAATCTTTACCTTTGCCAGCGCTATCGCGATATAAATAAAGCAGGACTGAAATGAAAGTACCTACGGCATTCAGTATAGTGCTTACATCATAAGGCTTGCATGTATCTACGAATTCTCTTCCAAATTCTACTGGCTGGTTCAGATGCGAATAACACTGGACAACAAATTTTAGTTTTTTAATTGTATCTTGTGGGAAAAGTGCACTTCTTTGTTAATTTTGGGGCGCTGAATCCAAAAATGACAATGAAATAAAAAAATTAGTTGCGGTTTAGAAAAAAACTTTTTATTTTTAAGGATATATTAAAAAAAGTAACAAGATTCATATACTTATAAGAATCACTATATGCGCTGTCTTTTTGCTGTTCTTTTATGGATCGTTTCTGGAGCATCTCTACCAAGAGTCCAACAGTAGTCTGCAAGCATGGAAGGATTTCACTTTCCCTGGTACCTTTTTTCCATTGTTGAAATATCCTGATGAAAACGTTCGCCGTGCTCATCACTTACGGCTCCGCAATTGTCAGGAAAAAAGTCCAGGTGTGAGTGTAGGAAATGTATCTTAAGAGACATATTACAGCCCATCTTCTGATACGATGACAGCATATTTTTGACAAGAATTTTATAGTTGTCAGCTTTTTGATTTCCCAAGAAATTAGTGATCACCAGACGGAAATCATTCCAAGCAGTTGTTTCAATACCTGTTAAAGTGTTTTCAAACTGTGTATCTTTCAAAATGTTTCGAATCTGTGGCCCAACAAAAATACCTTCTTTAACCCTTGCCTCACTTAGTCTTGGAAATTTCTGACGCAGGTATTGAAAGCTGACCCATTTCTATCTAATGCCTTGACAAAGTTTTTTGACCTGGCTCTAGGAATTGACGAACAGGCCAGTTTTGGCTGGTGTAATGAAGTGCCTTTGCCCGACTGTCCCATTCACACAAAAAACAGCAACACTTTGTGTAGCCTAGCTGCAGCCCAAGTAAAGGTGCAACAACTTTCAAATCGCCACAAATATGCCATTGGTGCTCATCGTATTTTATGCATGTCAATAGGTACTTCATATTGTCGTATGATTCTTTCATGTGAACTGCATACCCTACAGGAAGAGATGGTAAAATATTTCCAATATGCAATAACACTGCCTTTAAACTCAATGTTGAACTGTCTATAAAGAATCTCCATTCTTCTGGGTTATAGTTTACATTTAAAGCCGCCAGTAAGCCGTTAATGTTACTGCAGAAAAGCAAGTTATTCTCCATATTGAAAAATGGTTCTAAGTCTTTGTGGCGTTTACGAAAAACACATCCCAAAACTTCGTCTTCTAACAAGTTCCACTGCTGCAGGCTTGATCCAAGTAACTCTGCCTTACATTTTGGAAGTTCTAAATCTCTTACAAGATCATTTAATTCTGACTGTGTTATTTTGTGCGGTTGGTGGCATGACGTGATCGGTATAAAATCAGGATCTCTTGACGTTGATGGCATATCTTCTTCCTGACGAATCACTCGATCGCCATGATCTGATTCGTTTTCTGATTCGCAAGTGTAGGATTCTGGGGGTTTTGGAATAGGATTTTCGTCAGTGTGAGGCACAGGTCTCATCGCAGATGGTATGTTTGGGTAGTTAATAACCGATTTTTTTTTCTTGGACATACCTGTGGCTTGTCCAACACAAGGTACCATGCAAAAGTAACAATCGTTAATATGATTTGTAGGCTCTCTCCAAACCATTGGGACAGCAAAGCGCATAGACCGTTTTTTGCCATTTAACCAGCTCCTCAGACTTGAAGCACATGTATTACAGCAGATGTGGGGTGCCCACTGTTTGTCTTGATCACCTAGTTTACAACCTTTGTTATTAGTGGAGTAATAGACCGTCTCTGAGACGCAAAAGTCACATCACCACACACGTAACAAAACTGATCTGGATTGTTTACACACTTTCGAGACATCTTGCATGAACGCTGTCAGCCAACTGAGGAAAAAATGGATAATGTAAGACAATATAATGTACACGTATGTATAACGTAACACAATCATGCCGATTACATCATCTTTCCTTGCCGAATATAAAAATGTAGCACGTGCATTCTTGTGAATTACAGTATATTAACACTGTCACAACAGGAACACATATAATTACCGTACATCTAAAACTTGAACTTATATTGAAAAAATAAGTTTCATTCCGGTTTTAGCACATTAAAAATAGTAATATTTTGTTGATTTTATTTAGGATATTTTTTGGCTGTTGATCAGTGTAATCAGTTGGTATTTCAGGCATGTTTGGAAGAATGATAAAAGATATCCGTAAAACGCCACCTGTACTTTCTTATACTGGAAATAGTAGCAGTATTCTCTATTTCAGTTATTCTATTACTTTATTTTCCTGTAGTTAGGGGTAATTATTAAGCAAACTTCAATGACAACACATGTTCAAACATTTTTTAAGAAAATGTTGATCAAAAAGTAAATGCTTATCGATACAAGCCTATAACAATTCTTGCAAGCATACAGGTATATCTTCATGTTTCGGCCGTCCAGGTGTCCTTTTCAACGTACAAATAAAAGAAAATGTCAATGTGCCAGAGGATTCAACGTAAGGCGATCCAGAGGGGGAGCTTATGCTGAATAGCAATAGCCGTGGGATAGCTTTGAGAGATAGCAACCTTTAGTTGGCACACTATCAAATCAAACAATCAAAAGAAACTGTTGCCAAAATGACACAGCTTTTCCTTGGCATATAAGCGCTGCATCGCTGGAACGTTTTACGTCGGCTGAGCACCCTCATTGACAAGATATTTAATTTATCTGCACTCCAGGTAACAGTTCATTTTTGTTTGTCGCTACATGGTGGATTCATTACTTATGCAGCCACAGGATCAATTGCATATGTTAAATTAGATACAGATACTTATAGCATCAATAAAATAAACTATAAAGAGCTATGAGGAACTTGGAAAATATCAAACTATAATGAGGCGTCCATTTTCCAACAATATTCTTTGGATCACATTCATATTCTGATAGATAACAATTTTGCGAGACAATAGAACGCAGCCATGATTTTGTATGACGATGGACTATTGAACAGGTTCATGCTGACAGGAAGACATAGTGCAACAAGTATAGACAGATCAAATAGCGTTGTCCTCAACTATACTTGTAGAATATATTCCGAACCTGCAATATTTGGGCAATAGCTGCAGTAATTAATCCACATTCAACTGGGAATGAAAGCTGGAATCCTTTAGTCATCTGTAAGGGCGTAATATCCTCCTTGTATACGCCGGTGAAAGGTTAGCAAAAATTACAGCAATCGAAGGAGATTCAGATTATATCTAGAGAAACATGCTGAATGATGATATTTTTGCGGTATTCATCTCTTGAGCCTTCGGATCTTTTGCTGCAAAACTCTAATTGGGCAGTTTTATTTAAAAATAGTTTTGAAGGGACAATGCTCTTAAGAGTTAGTACTCAGTGCTCTTCCTATGCAAGCTCTGCTGCTGATGAATATGGAAAGAAATATTGCGTTTCTCGTTGGCTTTACAAACTCCTATGTCTTCCTGACAATATCTTCAATAGCACCATTTGTGTATGCCCTGATTAATTAACTTTTGTAAAGGACACTTCTGAAACACTCCAACACTGCTTTATTAATTTCGTTTTGTTCCATACCTATAACTTTTCATAAATATTCGTTTCTTCTCGAGGCGGTCCAGGAGACCTTACCTTCCCCTCACAATTTTAACGTGAAACTACTTATTTAATTCAAGCATCCTTTTTATCAGATTATCACGTAACATTACATCAATAACGGATCTGTATTAGTCTACTCGACTGAAGTTATGTTGTGAGGAGACTTGGGTCGATAGTTTTCAAAACTTTTAGTTAATACTGCAGACAATTTAAAGATAACGTACCTATAAAGTGACAAACTGATGAAACAAATCTCATGACACGCGTCTCATGAAAGATCAAATTACTTTCATTTATCATTGACGCAGAGCCTATATAGGTATATCTTTGAATAAGAACTGTATGTGGACTGACGTCTTTGAATATTTGAGCCCATTATCCTTCTTCTGAAATATACAATAGATTATCCTTGCCTATACACAGAAAAACTACAGCATGATTCATCTCCTTTAGTATCTTTCTTCGCGCGTCAGAGACAACCACTAGACGACTAAATACTGACGTTAATTAATATATTGTACCTGAAGATATCCAACCTAATGTTATATTTCCGCGTCCAAAAAGTTATCCGAGATAAAATCAGATACAGCAGCAACATCTCTAAAAATTTTCCACTATTTCTCTACTCACTATATGCTTTTTAAATAGCTTTTAGCATCACATAGATAGCGCTATAGCCATATATGTTTAATCTATATGCTCTTAT